GAAACTGCACTTTGCTTCCTTAGAAATACATTAGAGTCTGACCTTCAGTTATTCGACGTTCAATTTTTACGGACGTGCGTCCATTTTGTAATCGGCCGACTCAGAGTGTACTGGAATGAGTCGCACTTCCTGATCGCATTTTATGCACTCCGTCTGTTTAGAGTAATTTTTATTGCCTTCGATAAGACGAGCGGAGATCTACTTTAGTTTCTTAACTGAAGTTACCAATTTCTCATAACGAAGCGATTTCTTTAATTAAATGTCGAGCGAAAAGAGAAAGTAGTTTATTTTTCCCGCGGAACAAATTTAAAGTCTTACAAAGTCTAGATAAACGTGAACTATGCAACAAGTAGCAGAAGAACATGGCGTCAGGAGCCTTACCCTCGTCTCTTTCGATGGTCGTCTCAATTATCCGATCATCCTTCGGGACTTTGCTTTCTTGCGTCCAGGAAGAAGACAGTTCAGAACTGAAGCATTTCTGTACAATATTTTATGGTAACAGATTTGGGAAGACAATTTACGGCGTAGAAAGGATGGATCTTGATTTCCTCTGCTCCCTTCGCTTCACCACCTAGGCGAAATTTCGGGTCCCTAATGAGCAACTTTCCTATTTTGTGCGACGCACGTGGTGGGAAATACTCTGGGAAGACGGGCTCTTGAGTCAAAATTCGGCTTTGAAAGAGAATCGAATTTGTAAATCTGCCATTATGTTCCCTGTTAGTATTTTTTATTGCTGTTAGTTTTCCTGTAAATGACTCATTTCATCTAAGCCACTGAAATGGGTTATGCAAGAAGCAAGAAAGATGGTTCATCTATAATAACATCTTGAGACGTTTATCTTTGTTTTCCGTTTCCTTTCCTGTCCCTCAAATTTAATTTACTCCCGGTGTAATCTTGGTTCAATATTTGCTCTTTGTAATCGGGCAGTTTTCTGTCTGAATTTTGGTTTCTTCCATGAAGTTAATTATCCGCGAACTTCACTGGTATTAAAACGGATAACAACTGGTCCCCTGTTAAGGTCAGACTAATCTGTGTAGGACTTTGTTGAAAATAAACATTGCTCTTCGCAAATAACGAGACTCACTTAAATAATGTCTGAATGTTGTTCCTTTCTCCAAAAGGCCTGGAGTACGACAACATCTCATACACCACAACTCCCAGGCTCCACCAATCAGCTGCCTGCAACAATTCAAATTAGGACAAGAGCATTAATCAGTCACTTCCATTTATTTGCACCCTCCAGAAACAGAAAAAATGGATTCTGCTTCCTGTAATATACGCTCGGTAACTGATGCATATATTATGTAATTATAAGCAGCTGATATACATATAAATGTTTTACTTTTTAATGTTACTTTTTCAATGTGAGATATGAGAAATATTTGCCCCATTATTGAATATATATTTGTTGTGCCAGACCTTCAGATTATTCCACTGTCTCAGTTACGTGAAAGTACGAAATAAGTATTTTCACATCTTCATGGAAGAAAACACTTACCATGTCGTGTCCCATGCGCCGGATTACTTCGGGGGCCATATATTCTGGAGTACCGCTGCAGGAGTACGTTCTTTTATCCTGTTGATAAAAACAAGATTTTAAATAAGTTACATGTGACAGGAAATGAGACACATAAACAATTCCCTAACTGTGGTACAGGAAAGAAAACTTCGAGGATGCACTTTAGACCCAGTTCCGTTCATCTTCTGACGTCATAGCATGTTTCTCCAACGTAATGCGTGTTCGCGTCTTTTTCATGGTCTTCCATGTTCTTACTTTCCAAAAACTTTCAACGTCAAATATTTGTTTGCGTTGCTTCTCGCCCTACTTAACTGGCACAGTGTAATTCCGAAAAATTTTCGCTTAGGAATACTCGGTGAGCTGAATGTTTCACGT